GGAAGGCCTGACGCGATATGGTTCATGGGGTCACGAAGAGTCAGACACGACTTAACGACTGAACAACAACAACAATGTAAATTATACTAGCTTGTTCTTTGGAAAATACAACTTTGAGTGAAAAAATCTGGGGGAAAGATATGAGATGTTGTCTACTTACCTTCTCTTCCTATAATAGTTCCAGGTGATAATGCAAGACTAGCTGATCTGTAAATGTACAAACTTGCAAACTTGCAAAATAGTTTTTTTTTTTTTAAATAATGTCTCCTTTAGTAACAAACAATGCTAAAACAACTGAACAAATGTGCATGGTGCCCATTCTCTCCCACTTGATTCCTGCAAGAAGCAGTAGTAACAAACTGATCAGGAGGTTATCTTGGCAAAAGAAAAGAAAAGAAAAGAAAAGAAAAGAAAAGAAAAGAAAAGAAAAGAAAAGAAAAGAAAAGAAAAGAAAAGAAAAGAAAAGAAAGCTTAGCTTATATCCAAATTAGGACATCTATCTTATAATTCAAACCAAAGTTGAAGTCATGGTCTGACATTTGCTTCCAGATCCAGATTCCTTAGAGAAGTATCAAGTCAAGGTTAGATGCAATATTACACTTTTCTACCTTGGTAAGTTCTTAAGAAGTTTAACTGCTCTTGCTGGTACATAGAGCCAAACAGGAACAACCAAATATCAGTATGTGCTCAGCATGCCTGCTTATGAAAAATAAACCAGGATTCTGAAGAATTCTGTTTTTAGCAGTACTGAACCAGAAATATAATGCAATGGAAATTAAAAAATGCCTTATGGCAAATCAAATTATTGGTTAATCTAGTCTATGTTGATTGGCAGCAGTTTTATGGGGTTTCAGATCCATTCTCCCGCTCTCCCAAACGCTTCCTTAGAAATATCAGGGACTCAAGCTGGAATCTCTGGAATAAGCATTCTGCAACCAACAGATCCCTCACTAATTAGTCCTTGTAGAAAGGACATTAGGAGTCACGGTGGAAGTAAGCTAGTTACAAAAAACTGACACAAATATATGCTGATCAGACTGTAATCTATATGGAATAGTAATATATGGAAAAAAATTAAAAACTTATCTAACTATAACACACTCAATAGGATTTTTCCTGTTAGTCATGGGTCTTAGGGAATTAAGCTGATGGCATAATAATTAAATAGGAATTCCATTCATAGTGCCAAGAATCAATGTTAATTCTGTTTACCCAATACTTTATAATTTTAACTAATTTTGACATGGAAGGTTATAAACATTTGAAGAAAAGAGGAGAAAGATGGACGTAGCAAGCAAGGAAGCATATGCAAATTACAGAGAGAATGAAGAGAACAGGTTAGTGGAATCAGCTTAAGGAGCCAAACATTATTTCAAGCCAACAAAACAGCTAAGTTGATGGTTGATTAAAACTGCCCCTGACAACATATGAAATTCTAAAACAAATTCATTTTTTTTTAGGGTGCCGTTTTACTCTTGAACAGATGTGGGGTCACCATTTAATGTTGAGAACAAGAGTAGAAAGCCAAACTGTTTAAATCTCCCACTCCTCTAGCATTCTAATGTGATTCTAATCTTGGAATAAGCTTGATGCTTTGAAAGATAGCAAGAGGTCCATCTACCTAGTTGGTGAGGGAAGATAAAACAATACTTGAATTTTGTCTTCCTTCTTCTATGCTCTTGGTAGAAATTCAGAATAAAGGGACTAGTGACATAAACTTTGCATCACTAAAAGAATCTGTTCACAAAAATCACAACATTCTTGTGTTCTTCCACAAATATAGCATGAAAATAATTATCATGGTTCCAAATCAGAATTAGAATTAAAATTAGAAAAATACATAATTGCCTAAATATTTTCACTTTTCTAAAGACTTCCTTGGGGGAGAGAATAATTATGTTTCTTAATTTCATTTCTGTAACATTTGGATGAGGTGGATTTATTTCATGGGCCAAAAGAATAGATTACAGATTACAATTTTACTTCAGATGCTAAAGCCCAGTAACAGATCAATGCTAACAATGACATTAAAATCCTCAGCCAGCAATTAAGAATTTCAATTTGGTCACTTAACACAGGACAGCTTTTACTGGAATTCAAATTCTATCACTCTTTCAAACAATAAAATCTGCTGGCCATGAACCAAATACAGAGTCCTTTCAAAAATAAAAGCAGGAATTTTATGAAATTCATGTTTCAGAAACTTATTTGTAAACTGGAAGAAATTTTGTTCCAGCAAGCTTGGTTAAAGTATGAGCTGGTGCAAGCCGAATAAACACAAATATATTCTGATAAAAACATTATTTTCCTCAGCTGCGAAAGCTCTGGTAATCAGCCACCTTCAAACTCTGCCATGAAAGTAGTTAATTTCAAGACAGCGTCTGGTATGCAAATGAAGAACTGGCATCTGAGTTGGGTGCAGCAAAGGTTTTTGAAGTGTTGAGGCCCCACTTCAAACAAGCAAACAAAAAGAAAGTATGGAATCAGCACAAATTAGATATAATTTTGGGAGGAGGTTCCTCCAAAGTCTTGGCAGTAACCAGGTGATGTCACCAGGCAGATAGAACCAGTGTAATACAGTGATACCTCGGGATACGAACGCCTCTGCTTGCGAATTTTTTGGGTTACGACCAGCTCTGGCCCCAAAATTTTACCTCGGTTTGCGACCCCCGCCTCGGGGTCCGAGCCATTTTCCGCCCGGGCCCCGTGGTCCGCAGCCATTTTCTGCCCGTGCCACGTGGTCCGCGGCCATTTTTCCGCCCGTGCCACGTGGTCCGCG